GCCGGTAGGGGATCCGCCCGCCGCGCTGGGCTGCGCGGGAGATTCGTGGGCGCCCTCAGGCCAACTTTGGCCCCCGCTGGACCCAGTTGGAAGCCGGGTCGCCCCGGGGGCGCCACACATGTCGCGGTCCCTGCCCCGCAGTCCGGCCGGCGCTGCGGCCGCCACTAGCGGCCAGTCCTTGGCCTCGCCCCTCGGCCTCTCCAGCGGGGTCCACGCTGCTCCGGCCCAAGTCCCCGGCTCTATGAAGTGCGGAGGAGCCGAGCGCGTGGGGGGAGCGCGGCGGCGCCACGGCGCGGGGAGCCGGTCAGCTACAGCACCCTCCCGTCTCGCCCCAGCGATCCACGGTCCAGGCGCGGGAGAGGCCGTTCTGGTGCGCGAGACGCGGGAAGTCAAGCTTTAGAGGCCATCAGAAATCCCACTGGGCAGCGATGCAGCTTGGCCCCGGGCGAGTGAGCTTTGGAAGCAAAGGTTGGAGGGGAGACGGTTTGGAACTGGCTCCAGGAGGATGGCCCAGGGCCAGCAGGGCATTGCCACATCAAGACCAGCCCAGGACAGTTCCAGTCATGGTTTGGTTCTGGCGTTTTCTTTTCAGATTTGTTGCAGCAGGATGTGATTCATGCATCCTGGGCTACTTAACCCTAATGCTGTAGGCACTGAAGGCCTCACCTGCTCACCTTCAGGTCCTTGTATGCTTTTTGCTTGAACAGGCAATATGAAACAGGAAGTGTTAGGGGCGGAAATATTAACCATGCTATGTTAACCATGATTGTTAGCTATAGTTATAAGAAATATTAATCATGCTGTTAAGTGTGATTGTTCTGTTCTGATTAGAGAAAGCACATTCTAACCTGGCTGAGTGTTGTATCCCCTGGGACATGGGAATTAACTTTGGAATGTGGGCCATACTCCTTTTATTATCATGGGAAGATTAACAGCCTTGTTCCCAAAATAATGGAGGCCCGCTCTTTGCAACCCCCAGCCCACATTGCCTGTAACTTTATTAGTATTATACCTTGCCTACTTCCCCATGTCTGTAATTCCTGTTTTCCCATGTAATCTTGTCGTCCTACCCAATATAAGCAGCTGGTTTATGGGGGTAGATAGAGCAGATTTTATGTGAAAGGACCCATACTGCCAGCATTATTGGAATAAATACTCATATACACTCAACCCTCTCTGCTTAATTGGCTCAAGTGGTGAGAGTCAGTGGGGTCCATTGTTTCAGAAGAGTGTGTATTTCATTTAAATTGCTTTTTCAGCCAGTCACTCCACAGAGACTAAGTTTGCATAGTACGAATGTTTTCTATACAATAATAACATTAAAAACTATTAAAACACGTGGTTGAAATATGAGACCAGATATATGAAATAAGCCAGTGGTTGTGAAACATGTAAGACTGATATGAAAGTTAGTTGGCCAGTGCTGCCCAAGCATCAGGAGCCGCGGCATTTCGGCCTTCCTCGAGAGACCATCCCAGCGCTTAAAGGCTAAGTGTCTCCATGTATGTCTGCCCGCCTTTGGCCAGGGGACCGTGGGGAGGCCACAGTAGGGGAGCAGAGAGGCTACGGCTCTGCCTGCGGCGTCTCCACCCTGGAAACCCGCGTCCGGCAAGCGCCGTGGTTGCCTTGCACCCGGGGCTGCGGCGCGGAGCTGGAGCCCGCAGGGACCCAGGTCCCACCCAGGAGGCAGAGCGCCAGCGGGCGGTAACTGCCTCTCCCAACTCGGGCCAGGGAGCCTCTGCGTCGCGCAGCCGCTCCTCGCATTCCCTCCCTCCCTCCAGCAGGGCGGCGCCCCGCGTCTCGGCCGCGTGAAAGCGGCGGACCGGGCGCCCTGAGGCCGCTCCGCGTCGGCCCCCAGGGCCCGCCCCACGAACGCGGAGCGCGCAGGAACTGCATTTCCCAGGCTGCCGCGCGGCCGGGACTCCCCCTCCGGCTTCGCCCGGGTCCCAGAATGCCGCGGGAGCCCCGGCCCCGCCCCTCCACCTGGCCCGGAGCGCGGCTGGGGACCGCCCTCGCTGGAAGTAGCCGTTCCGCCGCGAGGCAGGTGCGGTAGGGTGGGGTGCAGGTGAGACCCCTTGGAACCCCGGGAGAGCGCGGCATCGCGAACCGGGGCCTGGACCCTGGGTGCTCCATGACAGCCAGGGAGCCCTGAGGGGTGCTGGGGCCCCGGGGACGTGGGACAGGACCCGAGGGCGCGGGCTGGTATCCCGGGCGGGAGAGGGGGCCTGGGGGTGTGGGAGGGGACCCGTGTTCTTGGAGGTGGCCCTGGGCCTAAGGAGGGATCCGAGGGCGTGGTAGGGGGGCTCGCCATGATGTGTTCTCCCCCACAGGCCTGCTGCCGGACTGTGCGGTCGGGAGCAACGGATGTCTGGTCAGGGCTCCTCCCATTAGGGCAGGACATGGGGCCCTGCAGCGGGGTCAGATCCTTCCAGTAGGGGCTCAAGCCGATTTCCAGTTCCCATGATAGGGTACTCGAGGGTGGTGGCACCCCAAGGCCTGGAGACAGCTGGAACTTGACCGAGTGGTAACCCCAAGGCCCCTGTGCAGCTCTGGGCAGAGGGCTAAGAAAAGGGATGACTCTGTCTAGCTGGGTCTCTCTGATCCCCAGGAGTCATCTCCCCTCCCTGCGGGCATCATCCTGGGCCAGCCCTTGGACAGTTTTGGGGCCCAGTGCTAAAGGCAGTGACCCTAAATAGGAGCATCTCAGGGGTCTGGAGTTCTTTTGGATGGAAACATGGTGGCCTCAGCCTCACAGCCTTTGGCCCTACAGGTGCAGCTGACATGGGTGAGCCCCAGGGGTCCATGCGGATCCTAGTGACAGGGGCCTCTGGGCTGGTGGGTAGAGCCATCCAGAAGGTGGTAGCAGATGGGGCCAGGCTGCCCAGAGAGGACTGGGTGTTCGTCTCCTCCAAGGATGCCGATCTCACGTGAGTGGGCCTATCCCTCCAGCACCCCCACACGCCCTCTCCAGACAGGGCTCTGGGCCAGACCTGTCCCTGAGCCTGGTGGCCTCATGTCTGTGCCTTCCCTGCCAGGTGGCTGGTGTGGCCTGGGTGTGCACAGCTCTGTTCCTAGGCAAACATCCTTCCACTCCTTCATAGCAGCCAGGGCCTGAGCTGGCCACTTTCCCTTATAGTAGCCAATCCCACCATCAGCCCTGCCTAGTTCCTGTTTCCAGTACTCCAGCCCCAGGGTGCTAGGCCCCTCAGGCCTTCAAGGGATCCCTAACAGCCCAACTATCTCCAGGGATGCTGCACAGACCCGAGCTCTGTTTGAAAAGGTTCGGCCCACACACGTCATCCATCTTGCTGCAATGGTGGGAGGCCTGTTCCGGAATATCAAATACAATTTGGACTTCTGGGTAAGTGAGGGGCCCCAATGAACACTGGGAGCCAGGAGCCAGGTTCTGGGAACTTCCTGGCCAGCTTCCCATGTTTATGTTCTAGTCCCAGGAAGTCCCTGGGGGTCAGGGCTTGGTGTAGCCTGGTGGGGGCCCCCAGTGACCCACACTTGATCTGTATGTAGACAAAGGGGCATGCAGGTAGATCTGAGGATATTTGGCCTTATAGAAAAAGCCATGGAGCTGACTAGCAGGTTGGAGAAACTGAAAGAAGTCATCATTCACTGTGTGACTTGGGGCTGGTTCCAGACCCTCCTGCTCCCAGGACCACTGTGGTCCAGCTACCCTGAGCCAGGCCCACAGGGTGCAGAGGTGTGAATTGGGCTCTGGGTCTGTGGCATGTGCTCTGGGGCGATGGGGGCATGCTGTAAGGGGTAGGAGGAGAATGGGGCACTGCCAGGCAGTGGCTGAGTATTGGCCCCACCATCTCATGGCCTTGGCATGGTTCAGCCCTGCTCCTGGCACTGGGATGGCAGAGGCTCAGACCAGATTCTGCCCAGGGGCCCCAGTCAACCAGAGCCCTCCTTGTCTCAGTCACAGCCTTCCCAGCAGGCCTAGCTACCACCTCTCCCTTCTCTCCAGACCAGTTCAAATGCCCTGGCCATCTCATGTCCAATTTCCAGAACGGCATGTGGGGCCCTCGGAGGGGTGGGGATGATCAAAGGCTTCACTGCTCCTGAGGAGTAGAGCTGGGTGAGCTCCTTTGGAGTGGGTGACTGGAGGGGCTCCTTGTGCCCCAGGGCCAGATTGGGCCCTCTGAGCTTCTTTCTGCCCCTGTACTACTTGCCCTGCCCTCAGCAGCCCGTACCTGGGGCCCAGCCCTGAGCTGAAGGGTGTAGTTTTCTCCTCCAGGGCTGTGGGAAGGCAGGCCCAACCCCTCCTACAGTCCTGGGAGTGGGACTGCCAGCTTATGATGTCACAGGCAGGAGGGGCAGGACAGGTAGGACAAGCAGGCTCAGGCATTGCCCATGTTAGGGTGGCCAGAGTGTGTCCCCACTTCTGTCCCTGGAGAAGCAGGTAGGGGTTGGGAGTCTTGCCTGGAGGGTCCTGAACCCACCCCCCCACGCCCCCCAGAGGAAAAATGTGCACATCAACGACAACGTCCTGCACTCGGCCTTTGAGGTGGGAGCACGCAAGGTGGTCTCTTGCCTGTCTACCTGCATCTTCCCTGACAAGACCACCTACCCTATCGATGAGACCATGGTGAGAGGACAGGCTGGGTTTGAGGGCAAGGCTGGGCTGGAGGTGGGGCCAGGAAGTATCGGTCTCCTCTGCTCTCCCAGATCCACAACGGGCCACCACACAGCAGCAATTTTGGCTACTCCTACGCCAAGAGGATGATCGATGTGCAGAACAGGTCCTCCTGGCTCCTGCCCAGCTGAGGCCAGCCAGGAATAGGGGAAGAGGGCCCAAGGGTGGGTGGGGCCCAGTGAATAACCCAGCAGGGCTCCCAGGTCTCATCTCCCTCCTTTGCCAGCCTCTGTTTTTTCCATCTATAAGAAGCCAGGGTGGGGTGGGTCCCAGAGCAAGGGCTGGAGGAGACGCTGTGCCTCTACAGGGCCTACTTCCAGCAGCACGGCTGCACCTTCACCGCTGTCATTCCTACCAACATCTTCGGGCCCCACGACAACTTCAACATTGAGGATGGCCATGTGCTGCCTGGCCTGATCCACAAGGTTCACCTGGCCAAGAGTGAGTGCCTGCCATCCAGCCACATGAGCCAGATCGCCCTCCTGATGGGGTCCCTGGGGCTCAGCTGGGAGGTGTGTGGTGCCTGGCACAGCCTCTGACACTCGCCCCTCCCCTAATTTGCAGGCCGGGGCTCAGCCCTGACAGTGTGGGGCACAGGGAAGCCTCGGAGGCAGTTCATCTACTCACTGGTTCGTGCTGGAGGGTGCACAGCTGTCCCCAGAACATCTCCCCAGGCCTGCCATGCTGCCTGTGGGGAGCATGGGGGAGTCTGGGGAGGGGTGAGGGTCTGGGCTGACACCCTGGAGGAGCAGCCACTGGTCCTCAATAAGTCTCTGTAGGCACCCGGCCCCATGGGATTTGCTGGGTGTAGCTCTGAGCTCAGTGGGAGAAAGGACTTGGTCCATTGGGGCTGAGCTGGCCAAGGACTGCCCAAAAGGAGAGATCCTGGTCTCTGGGCTGTGCCACCACTGGACAGGACTGCTCGGGAGAGGTGACCTGTGACCCATTTGGCCATAACTTGTGGCCTTTGACCCTGCTTGTCTCACTCTAGGATCTGGCCCGGCTCTTTATCTGGGTTCTGCGAGAGTACAGTGAGGTGGAGCCCATCATCTTGTCAGGTGGGCACCTTACAGCCCCACCCCCACTGCAGCAGTGGGAACATCCATGGGGGGGCGCTGGGTGGTAGTGGGGTCAAGCAGAGGAGGCTTGACCTGGACTTTGGCCCCTCGCTCCCTGCAGTGGACGAGGAGGATGAGGTTTCTATCCAGGAGGCAGCTGAGGCTGTGGTGGAGGCCATGGACTTCCATGGGGAGGTCACCGTATCCTTTGGCTCTAGTGAGACACTGTGGGCCTCCCAGCTCGAGATTGTGGGTCTGATGTACAGATGGTGTTCACCCTGGGAGTTGGAGGGTGGGTCTACCGCTCTCCCAGAGCCTTCCCAGGGAAAGGCAGAGGAAGTTCCAAGGCAGGTTGGGGGAGGGTGGGGCTGCCCCTTCTGCTATGGTCTTGACCAGGTGTCCAGTTTGATACAACTAAGTCAGATGGGCAGTTTAAGAAGACGGCCAGTAATGGCAAGCTGCGGGCCTACCTCCCGGAATTCCAGTTCACGCCTTTCAAGCAGGGTGAGCCCCCTGCCCCCCGCATGACCCTCCTGCCCTCATCCCTCAAAGCCTCCTGGGCTCTCTTTCTTGGCTTTGGGCGACCACTTTTTCTTCCTACTGCCAGCTGAGGGTGGACACCTTGCAGGTATGGTCTGCAAACCCTCATCAGGCAGCAGGAAATGGGTGACTACTCTTTGACACTGGGGCCCCCACCCTCCCCACCTCCCTTGGAGGTCAGTGAAGCCCTGGCCCTCACCTGCCACCCCCCTCACCTGCCCTCTGCAGCTGTGAAGGAGACCTGTGCCTGGTTCACCGACAACTACGAGCAGGCCCGGAAGTGAAGTGCAGTGGTGGGCCAGGTGCCGGCTTCCCCTTAGACCCCTGCAGTGGCAGAGCTCAGTGGCCACTACCCTCACCCTCAGACCCTACCAGGAGTCAAGGGCACTGCCTGGCAACTTGGGCCTGCATTACACCCCCTCCACCAGGGTGGCTCCAGGCAGCTGTCCAGTGGGGCCACCATTCACATTGTTCCTCAGGGAAACAGGCCTGGCCAGGCCTGGCACCTTGCTCCTCAGTGCCAATGCCCAGGTCCTGAGTGTGTCCACTTCTGATCTTGCTCTCCCACTCCTGGGAGCCAATAAAGTACATTTTACAGGCCTCGCACTGGCAGCTCTGTGCCAGTTGTCCCCCATACCAGGCACTACATCCCCGAATCTGGCCAGCCCCAGGATACCCCTGCTGACTCCTCAGCCTCTGAGAGATGCTGGGCCACAGTTGCCAACTGTCCCTGGGGTGGCAAAGGTGGAGACATGGAGAGGCAGGTATGTGAGCAGGAAGCAGGCAGGCCACAAGCGTGAGATAGTGGACTCTTGGCCAGTGGGGGTGCAGGGCTGAGTATTCCTTGATGGAGCCCTGGCCACAAGCAGGCCTGGTGACCTGATCCCCCAAGGGCTTTCCCCCTCAGCCCCAGGACTTTGGGGGAAGAGGCTGGGTCTGGATTTGGACAGACCGAGGGGAGGATGGTGATTGGGTGGCTCAGCCTTTCCTGGGACTGCAGGAGAGAGCTGGGCCAAGCCTGGCCCCTCATCTTCCTACCCCACTCAGGCGGCAGCTTGGGTGATGGGGCCCAGCCTGCCCTTATCCCATGGACAGTAACAGGTGTCACCCAGGGGGGCCTGCTGGGCATGGTGGGCAGGGAGGTGAGTGCCATGGGCCTCCCATTCTCAGTAGGAGCAGAGCAAAGTCCAGACAGGTTGAATGACAGGTTCCCCTGGCCAGTCATTTGGTACTGGGGCGTGGACCCTGGAGTTCTCAGCTCTGAAGCCCCTCACCAGACTGCCTTGCCCAGGACCCAGGCTCCTTCCCTGGCCTGGGGGCCTACCTCTTCTCAGGGCCTTTCCTTCCTAGTGCCCTCTGCCACCTTCACACTAACTCCTAGCTTCTGACCCAGATGTGGCTGCCATGTCCATTTCTCCCTTTGTCTATTCAAGCGATATTGGCTCTCTCCCAGTGCCAAGCGCAGGAGTCTCAGCCTCTCTCCCTGAGCCCGGCTGACCTCAAACTGCACTTGTCATCACCCCTTTCTCTCAGGCAAGCCCAGATGTTTATCCTATGGGCCTCCCCAGGGGCTGGCCCTGGAGCCCCTCATGCCAATTTCTCCCTGCCTATTAGGTCTCAGCTGCAGTGGTCCTTCACTTCTGAATGCCCACCCTGCCATGCAGGGTTGTAGTGCTGCCTGTTTGCTTGTCTGGAAACACCTGGGAGGCCCCCTCTCTCCCCAGGACTTGGAGCTCCAGGACCCTTCAGTGTAACCCCTCGGCGCCAGCCCTTTGTGAATGAAGGCTCTCCATGTGGGGATTCAGGGATGGGGTGGAGGGTGTGGCGCCTGAGTTAGAGCTCAAATTAGCCAGGTAAGAAGGATGGGAAGGAGGCCAGCACAGAGCAGAGAGGCCTGGACACACCTGATGGGATACAAGTAGTAGTTATATGCCCTGAGTCGTTCCCTGGTTTTCCTATGTGTGTGTGTGTGTGTTTATCATAGAGGGGCTATCTCCTCAGACAGAATGCATGTCCTCAGGCTGAGAGTTCAGGTGTCAGGTCAGCTGCTATGTGGCACCCATCCCGGCCCAGAGCAGGTCACATATAGCAGGGACAATGTTGAATGAATTATGGAATTTCATTGTTGAAGAGTTTAGAAAATGTCAAAGTAGAGCTTAAAAGAAAATAATATGTCCTTAAAATGCAAATTTAGACTGGGTGAACAGTAAAAAGACAAACTACAATCTTAGCTCTTCAAGCCTTATTTTTCCCATGTCAAAAATTACACCACTCCCCACACCCATCCTCACCTTCCCCCTGTCAGTCTCTAAGATGATCCCTGGCCACCAAGCACTCCATCTCCCTCAGAACCAATAAGAGGGACCAGGGCTCTGCTGGGTCCCCAAGCCTCAGGGAGGCCTCCTGCCTCCCCGCAGCACTCTGGAAGGCCCGCGGAAACCTGGATCCGGGCTGGCCAGAGGAACTTTAACACAGAAAAGCTGGACGTCTGCTTACGCATTTCACTGGTAGTGCTAATTTTACGCTGTCACCTGGAGCGCTGCAGCTTAGGAAGGAGCTGCTCACAAGCTCTCACCAAGCAGTCCTGTCCTTCCCACCTGAGCCCCCTCCCAGGCTCCAAACGGAGAACCAGGGCGCTCTGAGACCGCTGCTGCCACCCAGAGAAGCCGGCGGAGGCTGGCAGGGCCCCACTTCTTAGCACCTGACCTGTCGTGATGACAGGCCAGAGTCTGGACCCTGCCGGTCAGTTCCTCATAATCAGGGCGAATGTCACTCCTGGAAGCTCAGCTGCCCAGCGACCATCAATCAGTGTGGCCTACGGGTCTCTGCAGCGTCCCCATGAGGGACGCCCAACAGGCACGCTCCAGGGCACCGATCTCTGGAATGCAGCTTTTCAAGCTTTCCAAGATCCTTTGGAAAACCAGGATCTGATCTGCACACACCCGCCCAGCATTCTGCTATGGCTCGCCACCGCCCTCAGTGGCGGGACCCAGGTCCCCAGCTTGCCTCCCCCTTTCGCGCGAGACGGTTCCGGGAGCGGCCAACTTTGCCTCGTCGTGTCCCGCCCCCTTGGCGCGCCCCGCCCAGGCCGCACCCACCGGATGTCTGACGCCAAACTCTCGGACCAATGAACAGAGAGTACGGCCCGGAGCCTGACGGGAGGGGGCGGGGCGTGGGGCCCCGGAAGCCAGCGACCGGAAAGGGGTGGGGCGG